TAAAAATATACAATTATCTATAGGGCCAGAAAATAAAATAATGCTGGATATGCATCTAAAAACAACCAAAACACAGAAACTTTAGGCTTTAGTCTATGCTCTTGATAAATGTTTGACTGCAAAAAAAGTTATGTTAAGGCCACAAGAACATTTGGATTTTCTGATGCTCTTAAACTACCTGTGCAGTCAGTTTTCTGAGGAAATATGAGTGCTGCATGATAAGCATTGAGTAAGAATGTCATCAGCAGGGATGACAAACCTCTCTGGGTTTGGTTATCACTTGGCAGACTGTTCAGCACTCAAAGCACCGTGTCCCAATAACAGGCTATAAAAGTGACGATGCGCATCCACGGAATAAGAGGCTGCTGGGACGCATTCGAGGATAGAAGACAACCTTGAAGTGTGCAGAAATAAGGTATTAGGGATGACGCATTCACAAAGAGAACACAAAACAAGTGCACACATGTTTTCCCAGACACATTAGACATCGATTACGCCTCACGAGTGGTTGCCTAAGCTTAGTGCGTCTGGGGAGAGCTGTTTATGTGGATGTGTAGGTGTGGTCAGCTCATATTCCAGAGTCGTGCGCAACTGTCACTGAGATTAAAAAGAAGAAAGAGTAGCTATGCAAGCTGGAAGACACTTTTTCTGCTCTTGAATGAAAGATATTTTAGAGTAAATCTATAATAATAGAAAAATAAGGTACGCCAAGAATTCTAGTTCACCAATTTGCATTACATTAATGTTAATAAGTTTTTTATTTTGCTAAGAGGGTAAAAAACGCATAAGAAATTAATTATTATGAATATATTAGATCATTATAGAGCATTAAGATATTTAAAAAAAAAGATATAATTTTAAATGTTAGAGTAAAAAAAAAGCATGAAGAAAATCTGTAACCTGTACTATTCTATTTGCATTTATAAATGTTTCAGCAGAATTTTCTATCGAGGCTTTTCAGAGTTATAACTGTGGACCTACAGTTTACAACTACATAAACATGTATGAGCCGTTCTATGCTGCTGCCTGTTTTTTTTTTTTTTGGTGTAGTCCTGTTTCTCTGACTGTGACTGGCTGGATTTGCTCTCATCATCCTCTGGCATGGGGTTGGCTTGGAGTTCGTCTGCCTGGCTGTGTTTTTCCTGGATGGGGCCGCTTTTCACAGTTGCTTTTTGTATCTCTGTCTCCTTTAACCCCAGTCGGCCTCAGCAGATGGCCGCCCACACTAAGCCTTGTTCTGCTGGAGGTTTCTTCCATTTAAAAGGGAGTTTTTCCTCTCCACTGTCACTACAAGCATGATAGTGTGATAGCATAGTGTGAGGGATTGTATTCGAGTCAATGAATCGATGCAATCAACTGGTTTTCCTTAGATAGAAAACTTTAAATCAATTTCACTGTATGATCTGGTTGAATTGTAAAGTGCCTTGAGATGACATGTGTTGTGAATTGGAGCTATATAAATAAACTGAATTGAATTGAATTTAAGAGATAGAGTTCTACTGTCCATGCCTTCAACCTTTAGCTTAAATTAACAATTCAACCAACCTTCCTCTTCAGGACTTCATTTTTTAAATTGCTGTTAGTATTTGCCAGCAAGTATTGTGACTGCAGTCATTCAGCCTTCGATGAATGCCTCAACACCAAGTCAGTAAAGGCAGCAGACAAATGAACATTTCCATTGACTCTGACATGCCCACTCACAAACTGCAGGGTAGGTTTTTTGTTTGTCCTCTAGCTCATTTATTGTAATTCTCCCATAATCCTTTATGTGGCAAAATGACACAGCTGCCAGACATATCCTCTCTGCTGGCGCCTCAGACCTCCACTCCTTTCCTCTCCTCCTGCTCACAGATGAATTCTCCCTAAAATGAACGTACTTCACAACCACAACATATCCTCAAACATCCAAGTTAAAATGTAGGGACTCTCATCCCTGGAGAGCCGACACATCTTAGTGTTTTTGTTTGTAAGGATTGGACACACCCTGTTGACAAAGTTTGATTCATAACTCCCAAACCATTTGGTGACTCAGGGCTTCTGGAGAAAAACAGCTGTGCAATTTGTTTTTTTGCAAAGTGTGAATACTCTGGAAGTGCATAGGATTAAAAGCCATAACAGAAATCTGTACACAGCTGAACCGCGATGAAAAGCTTCAACACTAACAGGTAAAAACATGAACTGAAATGGCTTTTCGGTAGATGTCCAACTGTCCTAAATTAACTAGACAAGACAAAGCCGAACTTTGCATTTCTCGGTTCACTGATGAAGATAAGAATCCAGCCCCACATTGGCAGAGAGCTTCCCAGACCAAGCAGCAGACTGTGGGTTTGAAACGGTGTGCAGGGCTGTGTGGCATCTGGCCAAACTGCGATCTGCTTCCTAGCAAATCCTTGTTGATTTAATTTGTGCACAGTCGACCGGCAATGTCAACTTCGTGAAGCGCGGACCTGAAAGCTGGGCTAAATTAGATGAGCGTGCTTAATGCCTGCTTTTCTCCCTTCATTGGATGCGGGATGACAGCACATGAACGAGTGCTAAAACAGCCCAGAGAGAGCCAGTAACACCAACATCACAGCAAATAGGATTGGAAATTTCTGGAACAGTGTCTGTATTGTTGGGAAAACACCGCTGGAAAGGCAGAGCGAGGAAAACTCGGCTGCACGAATCACCAGACAGATGCTGAGTTGTTAATGTCTGTATCTGTGCAGATAAATCACACATTCACCTGGTTCCAACCAGCAGACAGGAAGAACCCTGGAAGGTGTTGTCCTCTGACTGAGGCTGAAAGCAGTTATTAAGACATTACCTCTTTAAGCCAGGTCTGTGAAAGGACCAATCCAGGATCATTAGTGGTGTAGCTTTCAGTGCTCAGCATGCTTAATGAGCAGACCTGTCCATCCTGTCTGAGTGATTACTGAGCAGGCTGAGCGCTGAGACTGACTGCTGTGTGTCTATGTCTCACAAAAGGCACACATTTTGCACATCCTCTGATTTAGAGGATTCAAATAGATGTTTAGATTAGTTCAAGATAAAATAAAACTCCTTTGAAATGTCTAAACCCAAACAAAGACCACCTGTGGATCACTAATGCCGACATTAGGGATAACTCTGCATTATGAACCAGCTGTGGTTTGGACCAAACAAGAGATCATCTAGTACTTCACATGTCCTAGACTGGCTCACTATGGCTCATTTTGATTGGAAGCTAATTTCTGTGTGTCTCTAAAAGAGAATTTATCACTAAACAAACCACAACTCATCTTAGGACGTAGATTATTTTCACAATTCTCACACATGTTAAATGTTTCCACATCTAGTTGGCCTTTTGCTACCCAGCATCTTAAAGCTCAGTTCAATCAAAGTAAAAACCAAATTCATCAGCAGGAAATGCACCACACTAGGGCTTAAACAAATAATCAGATTAATCATGATTAATCGAATACCGAAATAATTGTCAAATAATTTAGTTATCGATTAATCGTTAACTGGAGTATAGAGAGTGTAAAACGTGCCTTTAACTGACATAGCAACCTACTTAGAGCAGTCATTATACCAAAATTGCAATAATAATAATAAAAATTTCAATTGCTTTGATTCATTAAAAAAATCTTCTTTAGGATCCTTTTGCTGTCCAAATCATTAATCGGTTAATAATCAAACAATCGATAGATTAATCAATTAGCAAAATAATCGTTACACCATGCCCTATACCACACAAAGTCTCTTTTTCATCAATCTAAAAACTGATGCAGAGGAGAAAAAGCTGCTGGAAGAAACACTGAATCAATAAAGTTATAATGGTGTAAACAAATTCAGTTTAAGATCTAATATGGAAAATATATATAGATGTATTTCAGACTTTTTAAGGGTTAAAAATAAGATTTCTTTTTTTAAAGCTTCTCACATACATAGAAATGTGATAACATATTTTGGGCGGGGTTCTGTTTTATTTTTGATCTTTTAATGAATGTCCATTGTGTCCCTCCATATTTCAAAATATGAAGCACTAGATTGGTTATTGCACAGATTATGCTGCCAGAAATCTAATGAATTTCACTTAATATTTTGTCATCTTTACATAAACTGATTCCCTCCCAAAATAAAAAGCTAAAATCTGTCAATAAAATACAATTTAAAAGGGAGATAAAATAAATTGCACAGAGTATGCATTTATAGTTTGTATAGTATGCCCTTTTAAATTATGCTTGTGTTAGGATGGGGAAGAAAAATGTGACGAATAATGCAGTCTCTTCTGCACCAGTGCTGCAGCAGACTGCTTGTTTTTATCCTAGAAAAGCTACTCACTGCAGGGGGAACACAGGCCTCATCAGGGTGTTTCCTGCTGCTACTAAATGCATGAAAATTAAATCAGAGCAACAACAGAGAAGCCGAGTAGACAGACAGGAATTAAATGGAGAAACTTGAAGCTCAGATCTGTTACAAGCCTATGATGGCAGCCTGTTTGGTCAAGGTTAACTGTTACTGTATGAGCTTGCACTACCTGTTAGTACAGATAAAACAGCTGGATCAGAGGATTACCAGAGCAACTGTTCCCATAAAAAAACATTTCATCCTTGATCTAAACAAAAGAGCATCAATGATTGTAAAAGAAATTTCCACAAAGCTATAGTAGATCCAATGACACAAAGACCTGCAAAATGTCAAAATATCTTATTCTAGAAATTAAAACAACTCAGAACTACTTGCAGAACCATTATATGTTATTTAACCAGTGTATCTTTTTGGTATTTGGTACATCTGGAACATCAGACATGAAAACAATGAATAGTTAGATAAAAGACTTGCAGACTGACAGAGAAAGAAAGATTATTTTATAACACATTGGACTCTGAAGATGAAAAAAATAATTTTTGTGCTTGGAAATATTTTGTCAAAAATCAATATACCTTTAAGAATCTGGTTAGGATGTACATTTCTTAATGAAATAGATGCATCACACGGTTCTAAGGTCATATCAAATTATGTCCAGATGTATTTACCTCTTTGTGTTGTCTGAAGTTGGGCCAGAGGGATGGCAAGGTGCCTTGAAATCACAGCTTGGTGGAGACAAATGTTTGTCCAAGTTTTAAATGAAACAGCAACCAATGACTGCGACCATATGGGTGTTTGGTCCAGATTAGCGGTCTGAAAGAACATCAGAAAAGAGACTTCCATCAAAAAGCTGAAAGCATTGGTAAAAGCTTTTTATTTTCCACAATTATCAACTAACCCACCACAGCCTAGATTGCTTTTTGGATTGTATATAATTATTTGAAAAGCAAATGAAAAAAAAACAAAAACAAATTGAAGTGAAAGTGTTAGTTAAAATCTAAGGCTTTCACTCCATGGAGTGTTGGGAATTTCAACAGTCTGTTGTGTCTGGCAAAGCAGCATAAAAAGGGTCCTTTCCCATCTTGGATTTCCCGCAGCTAGTCACTTCCCAGGCTGTCTGAGCGTTGGCATTGGCTCACGCCCTCAGCTCCATTTTCCTAGTTTAAAGTTCCTCTATATCCATTAAATATCCCTTCAAAGTTTTGGAATCAGTTAGGAATAAAAAAATCCATCCAAACTAGAACATTTAAACAAATCCAGATGCTTTTCTCTCCTAATCCTCAGTTCTAAGTTCCACCGTTTGCTTTATACTCAGTCCCTTGTGATATCTGTCACCTCCAAAAGTGCCCATTTCACAACTTTTTCAAAGTCCTCTTTGAACTTGACAGCTTTTCTAAAAATCAAATCAAAAATATTTTCTTTTGCCATCTTCTCCCACGTTTTCCCCGCTCACCTCAGATCTTCGCTTTCCATTAAATGTCAAGGGGTCTGTCTCAGTTTTGAAACTGTTTTTGGTTGCTGTTCTGTGCAGCACAGCAAGGCGCCCTGCTGCGGTGCGGCTGTTCATTTTTTAGACTCATGTCTTCCTTTTATAAAACGACCACTCCCTTCTCTCCTTCCCTTTCTCACTTCCTCTTGCAGAAGCTAGAAGGTAAGCCCCTTTCATCTTCCTCCAGTCAAACTTTTCTCCCACTATTGAAGAAAGCTGCTGCACTGCAAGTTTAACATCAATACTTTAGCTGGTGTCGTTCTAACAAACAGGGCCGCATCTCGGCTAAGAGAGCCAACCCCGACCCCCAAAAACAGAAAACAAACTATTGTTAAAAAGCTCTACAGTCAGGAAGAAAAAATACAGCAATAAATCATCTTTTTATTAAAATTAAGTTCAGGCTTTTAACACTCAACAGCTATACTTATTTACAAGTTGGTCAGAGACTGAACATGATGCATGAAGAGGTTTAGGCGTTGACAGTTAGGAAAAATGAAGGGACATCAAACTCTGCAATTAAAATGTGAGTTCATAATGCAAATATCAAACAGGAGAAAGTTCGGAGAAATGTTGTTTTAGAGGAGTAACAGAATTAAATCAGGTGAAACTAAAACTTTTCCACTGCAGGAGTTCTGGATAGAGCATATTGACAGACTAAATTTTTTTATTATTATTATTATAAATGCCAAATATTTACATTATTTTTGTTTTTTTGTTTTACAATTTTGGTATAATTACTGCTCTAAACCTAGTCTCTATACCACAGTTAACCATTAATCCATAAGTTGACGATTATTTCAATAATCGGCTAATCATTAGTCCAATTAATTGTTTCAGCCCTAAATGAGTAACTAATGCGGTTAGTTTAAAGTAACCCAAAGTAAGTGTAGTTATTTCCTTTTCCTCCTTTGATGCTGACACAGAACTGATTAGTGGTAAATTGTACATTTCTTCTCTTAAACACACTTCAACGCACGCTTATGTAAATCACTGGGGAGCGCTTACAGGTTCTCTCTTGCAAGTCATGGTGCAAAAAAAGGAATAAGATTATTAAATTTAAAGAAAAGTGACAGAGCCGTGATATCAAGCCTTCAGCAGAGACCCGAACATATAAAAATAAACACAAACTGCAAACAGTTGGAAATTAAATGAACTTTCTGAATCCTTTAAGATATCAACTGAGGATTTTAGGAAAAAAAACATTAGGGGCCGACTGTCTGGGAGGAGAAAGCTTCCTCAGTTTGGATTAACAATACGCTCCTTGTTCTTTCACTAGGCTCAAACTGCTTTTATCAAAATCGATTTACTCGCTCATTTGACCTAACTCTTAACCATCTCACATTTTGTCACATTTTTGTTTTTTCCATCCTATCTTTAACATTTTACTGCTGTCATCTTCTTCTTCTCAAGTATAAAGAAGCAAATTTATCAGGCAGAAACAAAAACCCTTTTCAAAAGGCTCAGCCATGACAGAGACCAAGGCAGGAAGACCCAATGAGTGGGAAAACAGAGGAAGACAGAGTAAACTCTCTGAATAACATGTGAAAACCAATAAACAATATCTTCAGGGAGTTCAAATTACATTAGATGCAGGCATGATGCAGTTAATTGCCTCCATTTTCTATTTGCTATTTGTTATGCATTTAGATACAAACACTACTTCCCCTTTCTTTCTCATTTATACACACAAACACTCACACACACACACACACACACACACGTATAAAGACCCAATGCTCTCTGATATTATATTGCCCTGGGGTCCATTAACCCGAGCATGAAGACTATAAAAAATAATTGGAAAAAAGACAGAAAAATCTCAAGAGTAAAAAAAAAAATATATCAATTAGTTGCAGAAAGAAAACCTTCACAGCGTTATTAGCGTGGGGGGGGGGGATTTAAACTGATGAACATTAGTTGTTGACATGCCAAAAATGCAAATATAAGTAGATGTTTAGGGCAATTTCATTTAATACTCTTTGACAAAGTAAATAGCTTTTGTTTTTTGTTAAAATAAGTAAAAAAAAAAAAAAAACAGAAACAACCAATTTATTTTATTCCTCTAATCTGAAAGAGTGAAATCACAAGGTACTGTATGAGAAGGTGCACTCTTTTACAAAAGATGGATTAAGATTCATAATACAAATATAATGGAATAAAAATATATAATGGAGCATATTAAATACATAGTGGTTCAGCTAGGAAAGCAATCAATAAATGGAGAGAATAAGAAACAGTTGGGGAAAAGGTAGAAGTTTTTCTTATAATGATGAAAAGATGGAAGCTGGAGAGGGCAACATTTACACTGGAGGAGCCTCAGAGAAATCCTGGCACAACAATGCAACTTAGCCATACCTGCAAGAGTGTATGGTGGTGGCAGCATTATGACTGGGGGTTCTTTTTCTCCATATGGAATTGCTTTGTTTTATTTTGTAAAAGATATGGGAAAATATTGATAGATCTAAAAATCTGACAGCTGTTATTCAAAGCCTCCAGGTGACTTCTAGAAAAAAGACAACGAATAAGGATGAAAGTAATGTTTCAGCATCACAGGGAGTCTAAATTAAAAGAAAGGATCTGTATGACCTTGCTGGAGTCTGGACAAAACAGTGACAGGACTTCTGCAGTGTCAAAAAAGATCCTCAACAAGCAATATTAACAAAATATAACCGAATGAGAGAAATGTTATACGTGAGAAATTTGTGCTGAAAGACTCAAAACAAAGACTGAAAACTGTAACTAAGACAAAAAGAGCCACAGATAAGTATCAGTTGAAGGGTATGAAAATTATACAACTGGGTTATTGCTGCTTTTTCAGTTCTCCGTGAAAAACAAAAATAAAATAAATTATACATATACATATATAGATCCAAAAAGATATTTTTTCCGTTAGAGGTGCGTATAAACATGTATCAATTGAGGAAGAATGTTCTAATAACAGACTAAACCGCCGAGAAAATGTTTCGACTCAGACATAATGTCAAATATGGCGGTTAAAGCTAAACATCTAATGCTCTTTTCCAGCCATTATGTTAACCATAAATACATCTCTACACCAAATTTATGATTTTATTTTTGGATAACTGAATAAATAATCTTATAAATTACTCACAATATCTTCATGTTCATAAACAGCTGAAGAAAGCCAGTATAACGATTACTGCTAAAGTTTAATTACTACAAATTGTGCATCTGTAAACCTTTCTAAGAGCTATCATTAGTTTAGAGCCAACAGGAAGTTTCACTTCATTATCCATTTTTTGTCATATTTAAAGTAGTAGGAAAATTAAACTGTTCTCAATTTTTCTACATAATTTCCTAAAAAGAAATAAAAAAGTTGTCTTTCATATTTTTATTGTTTGTTTGAAAGTGAAAAATGAATGAAAGAATGATACAGTCATTTGTGATAAATGCTACGTCTGAACATTTTGAACAATGTGTTTTAATCTCCTCGTAAGCACATTTTTCTTTTTTTTTTGTAAAATAAAAACTACCTCAGGTAAGCATAAAAAACTTTTTGTGAAATATAGTAAGTCAATTCAAATGTTACTATTTCAATCAAATTCTTCTAATAAGACACTTTAAAATGACTTAAAAAAGGGAATGGAAACATGTAATAGTATGCAGCTTTTGAATTTTGCATATAGCCGGATATTTTTGTTGGTATGAGGTCACATTTAAGACATTTATTCAAAAGCTACAGAGAAAAATAAAATAAAAAAAACTCCTAGAGTCATGAGATTTCTTAAGATCCAGCCTCCTGTGTTCCTCTTTGTTATTTCAGTCTGTTTTCATCACATTTTTAGGATTAAGTAGAAACGGCCCTGTGCTATAATGACCCCCGAAAGCTCTGTCTTTCACTTCCCACATTTCTCACTTCTGCTTTCTGGCTTTTCTGCTCTTAACCTTCTTGTGCCACGACAAGCATAATTGACTCAAGCAGTAGAGAAAACAAATAACCTGAAGAGTTTTGATTTGCATAAACTGGAGCCTGGGGATACATAAGCTTTATCGGAGAAAGGACGCACTAAAGCACGTTTCCACACCTTGTTTGTTTTCGGCTTAAATTAATACACCGGTAGGCAACGAGATAACAGGGGCATTTCCTATTATGAGCCTGCTTGGGAAAGGGGAACAGGGAGGTACGGTTTAACTGTGAGAAGGACAGACTTGTCTTTGCATACCAGACATTTCTTTTAACCTTATGAACAGATCTAAACAGCTGGGTGGTGAAAGGGAGTGGTGTATTTAGAGAAACATGTGACAAATGTTCAAAGAGGAATGGAAAGCAGACAGAATGAGGGAAAAATGTGAAACATGCCAA